CCATAACAAATGAAGACATTGAATAATAAAAAATATGCCCACAAAGAAAAGGGTCAGATGGCCTCGTAAGTGAATTCTACCAAACATTCAAAAAAGAATTAATACCAATTCTTCACAAACTAGTCCTAAAAATAGAAGAGGAGGAAACTTTCATTTCCTAACTCAATCCATAAGGTCAATATTACCTTGATATGCAGTCAGACTAAGAAATTACCAGAAAACTACAGATCATTATTCTCATGAATATAGACACAAGAATCCCCAACAAAATAATTGGCAAACCAAATCCAGACACATATAAAAAGGATCATATGCCATGATTATGTGGAACTTATTTGAAGAATGCAAGGTTGGTTTAATATCTGAAAATCAATAATGTGTAAGAGCATCATAACAGAATAAAAGACAAAAACCACATGACCATCTCAATAGACATAAAAAAAGCATTTGACAAAAGCCAACACTCATTCATGATAAAAATCTCAACAAACCAGGAATAGAAGGGAACTTCCTCAAGGGCATCTGTGAAAAATGTACAGTTAACCTGATTAAGGGTGAGAGACAATGCTTTCCCCCTAATACTGGGAAAACAATTTTGCTTTTACCACTTCTCTTTAACATTGTATTGGAAGTTCTTGCCACTGCAACAAAGCAAGAAAAAGAAATTAAAGTTATGTAGATTGGAAATGGAAAGCAATGCTGTCATTTTCTGGAAATGTCATGACACTGTATGTAAAAAATCCTAAACAATCTATAAAAAAACAACTTGAACTAATGAACAAGTTTGCAGTGTAGTACGATACATGATCAATATACAATAATAAATTGTGTTTCTATGCACTAGCAACAATTTGAAGAGGAAATGGAAACAATTCCACTCATAACATCAAAAGAATAAAATATTTAGAAATGAATTTAACAAGTGAAGTGTAAGACCTGTATACTGAAAATTAAAAATATTGCTCATGAAATTAAAGAAGATAAAAATAAAAGGAGAGAAATATCATGGTCATGGATTGGAAAACTCAATAAGATGTCAGTTCTCCATAAATTCACTGACAGATTAAATTCAATTGCTATAAAAATCCCAATAGACTTTTTGGGGGTAGAAATTGACAAGATGAACCTAAGATTTATATGTAAATGCACAGTACCCAGGACAGCCAAAGCAACCTGGAATAAAAACAAACTGGGAAGACTTATAATACCTGACTTCAAATTTTACCATAAAGTTATAATAAATCAAAAGAATATGGCATTGGCATAAAGATAGACATATATATCAGTGAAAGAATAGAGAGTCAAGAAATAATCCTTTTTATTTATAGCCAATTGATTTCGACAAAGATGCCATGGCAATTCAATGAAGATAGACTATTGTTTGCAACAAATGATGCTAAGACAATTGGGATCCATATGTAACAAAATAAAAATAAAAACAAAAGAATTTAGATACCTAAATAATATACCAAAATTAACTCAAAATGGATCACAGACCAAAATATAAGAGCCACAACTACTACTGACTTCTAGTAAAAATATAGAAAAAAATCTTTCTGATCTTAAGTTAGGCAAAGATTTCTAAGGTATGGCACTGAAAGCATGATACATACAAATTGATAAAATGGAATTCATCAAAATTACAATCTTTTGCTCTTCAAAAAAACTGCTTCATTAAGAAAATGAAAAAAACAAACCACAGACTGAAGAAAATATTAGATAAAGGATTTGTATACACAATACATAAGGCACTCTTACAATTCAACAGGCAGCCGGATAACCCAAGTTAAAAATGGACAAAAGATTTTTTTCAAGTGAACTCTACCCCCAACATGGGGCTCAAACTCACAACCCCAAGATCAAGAGTCTCATGCTCTACCGAGTCACCCCAAAAATGAACAAAAGGTTTGAAGAGACATTTCACCAAAGAAAATATATAAATGTCTAATAATAAGCACATGAAAGGATGTTATTAATCATTAGGAAATGTACATTAAAACCAAATTAAGATACTACTATCCACACACCAGAATGGGTAAAATCCAAAAGACTGACAATATCAAGGATTGATAAGGATGTATAGAAATTGGAACTCTTACACATCAATGGTGGGAATGTTAAACGGCACAGCTCCATTGGAAGCAGTTTGGTAATATCTTAAAAGTTAACCATAAATTTAACATAAAAGTTAAACATAAACAGCAATTCCACTCTTTGGTATCTACCCAGGAAAAATAAAAATATACGCCTATACAAAGACAGGCATGCAAGTGTTTATAGTACCATTATTCATAAGAGCTTCAATAGAAAACAAACTAAATGTCCATTAACCGATGAATGAAAATCCATGCAATGAAATACTTATTCAGCATTAAAAGGAAAGTACTGGTACATGCTATTATGTGATAAGCATAAAAAAACACAACTGAAAACATATGCTATGTGGAAGAAGCCAGACAACTCTCCCCCACACATATTGTATGATTCCATTTACATGAAATTTCTAGAAAAGGTAAATGCACCACTGAGAAGGACCCAGCATCTCCTCTGTGGTACTGTTGCCCGAAATGCAAAACCTGAATCGAATCATGAGAAAAAAGTAGACAAAACTTTGGCATCCTACAAATAACTGGCCTGTGTTATTTAAAAAAATGGTAAGGTCATAAAAGACAAAGGTCAAGGTACTGTTCCAGAAGGAAGGAGACTAAAAAGATATGAGAATGAAATATAATGTGTGATCCTAAATTGAATCTTAGAATGGGATAACTGTAAAGAGTAACACTGGGATAACTGGTGAAATCTAACTATTGACTATCTAACTAATCTAACTATTTAGTACCTAACTATGGATTAGGTACTAAATTTCCTGATTTTGGTAATCTGTACTGTGATTATGTAAGAAAATGTCCTTATTCTTAGGAAATACACACTGAACTACTTAAGGGTAAAAGCACATGATGTCTATAACTTACTCTCAAAAGGTACAGAAAAATTAACATCCATGTATTTATACATGGAGAGACAGAAAGGAAATGATAAAATAAATGGAGCACAATTAATGAAGGTAGATGTATGGGGGTTCATTGTACTTTTCTTGCAAGTTTGAAATTATTATATCAAATCAAATCAAGCTATTTAAAAAACCTACATATGGTGCGACTGAAGGGTCTTAACTCATTTTTCTTCTGCATATCTATTTCCGTTACACCAAAAACATCTTTCTCAAACATCAGCATAGTCATATATTGTCCTTCCTCAAAAATGTCTATGGCCTCTGATGCCACAAAATAAAGTTCAGATTACAGCAGGATACTTACAGTCCTTTACACTCCGGTCCCAATGTACCTTTCCCATATTGCTTCTCAAATTCTTCCCCAAACACTTTCAGATCTGTCTCTGCTTATGCCACTGCTGGGAAGTTCTGACCCCAGAATCCTCATCTTTTGCAGTTCAACTCAAATGTCTTTTCTTTCATCCTTCCCCAATCCCTAAAGGCAAGCTCTTTTTCTGCACACATCCTATGTTCACAATTTCTCCCGCTCCTTTTTTACACTTTATTCATTACACCTAACTTGCCTTCTTAGCCCATTGGCCGGCACACGGCAGGTGCTCAACCTGTTGAAGTCCTGCCATAATTTTATTCTCTAACCTTTCTGCTAAATATGTAAAATAATTTTCTTCTTTAAGCAAAGGAAATAATCACATTTTGATTGTTAATACAGTATCTGGGCAGGAAATCAAGATCAAGCAGTGATATAGCCACTGACAGGGAAGAGATGAAACTGGTTGAAAATATTTTTAATAGTCATTAGTGACTTCAACTGAACTTACATATCTCTTGGCTAAGGGGCCTCCTGACTTCAAAATTTACCAAATACTTGACTGTTAAATTAATCAAGTTCTGTGTATAAAGGCAAAAACAGATATAGACTTGGGCCCATTGGTAAATATAGAAAGATATTTGAGTAGATAAGATACTTGAGTGGATCATTAAATTCTTTGAAAGTTTCCTGTTTAATTTCCTTAGTCTGAAGGAAATGATGCACATAGAAACAGAGGAAACACTGGGAGGCAGATTATTTTCCATGATTGTATCACAAAGCAGGTCCTGAGAGCTCAAGTAAGCCTATGGAATGCACTGGCGGAAGCAAAACAAAATTAAGAAAGGGAGAGTAATGGGGTGAAAAAAATATTTAGTAATCTCCTAATCTTAAATTTATAGGAAACTGGTGTAAACAGCAGTGTTAAGAAGGAGGAAAGCAAGGAGACTTTTTCAAGACCAGGCCAGCCCAGTTAAATTCTGCAGGCTTAAAGTCACAATGTGCTATGTTGTTTATTGTTTCCAATGCACCCAAACTTGTAGTATTCATATTTAATAGAACTGATCAGGAAGATGGGCTGCAAACGCATTCTGCATCTGTCTTATGAACATAACACTGAATTACAGAACTTCGAAAGTACACCTGTTAATAAACGTCTTGGTGATAGTACAATCAGGTTAATTAAAAGCATCTCCAGGAAACCAGAAGACCATATAATTTATATAACCCAAGAAACTAATTTTGTTTAAAACATCACATTTCATATGTTTACGTATCTGGAAGCTTGGCATAGTTCACTTTACCTCCAGGCCTCTAAAGCCGTCTCGACCCTTCAAAGGCAGTCCAGCTTCTTGGCCACACCTGGGTCTCCCAAAGCGCAGGTGCGCCCCGCTGCCCCCTCTGCCCCCACCGGCCGCCCTCCCGCAGCCGCTCGCCTCCCCAGGGCCGCACCTCCCTCTAGCCCCGAGGGAGCCGCAGCGGGTGGGGCGTGCGGCCGGCGCGAGCACCCTGTCACCTCTAGCCCTCGCCCCCACCCTGCCTGTCCCTCCGGAGGCTACCGGAGGGGAAGGCAACCCCGCTCCCCTGCCCTCAGGAACTTTCCCTTTTCTGGGAGCGTGCATGCAGACCCCGGTCCTCTCTCCCTCAGGCCCCCCGCCCGCCGCCAGCACCCACACTTACGGCGCGGACCCGTGGTGCCCGCCACGCCGCCTCGCGCAGCCCGGAGCGGCGCCGACCCGGCGGAGGTCGCTGTGCGCGGGCCGCCACCCGCCCAGCAACTGCGGAGCGTAGCGCCGCGGCGTCTCCGGGGCAACCGGACGCTCAGGGCGCGCGGGCCGGGCGGCTTCCGGGGAGCTCCTCCGGCGCCCGCCGCTCGGGAAGCCCGGGCTCCGCCGCCTCATCTCAGGGGGCAGCCTCCGGGCAGAGCCATAACGTCGGGGGTGCAGACGCGGCGACCGTTTCTGCTCCAGAGCCCTGAAGATGCCCTGAGGAAGGCGCTCAGGAAACATTTAAACTACTTTTCCGCGAACGCCGTGATTGTAGGAAGTCCTGTTCCTTTCCAGGGCCTCAAGCGCACTTAAAATGAAGCCCGTGTAAACGGTGAAATGAGGCCGCTTCCCTGCCTGGGCCGAGACCTTCAGTTTGTCAGATCCTCTCTTATTAGTCATTACTTTTCAGTCTTGCTTTACTGTCCAAAGAGCTTTTTAGCAAACTCGTGGAGGCCTTCCCGTGACAGGCGGCTCTCAGCTGTGGGGCGCGCTGCTGCCGTGTTCACAATCCTGCAGGCACTGTGGTAGTATCTGGAGCGGGTTCAGAATGAGGCAGATTTGCCACCCAGGGGGAAGCAAGTCAAGCAAATAATGCGATGAATGCCATATCGAAGTAAATGCATTAACGCTGCACAAGATCATTTTTACGAAAGCTTACCCTTCTTGTTCCCAAATACGAACTTAAAAATACTACGTTAATAAGCACATACATACTTGTTTAGCATCAATAAAATGCTCCCCATCATGCCGGATTTAGGGTAGTCATACTTCCCCTTCTTCCTTCAGGTGACTGTACTCTTCATCTTCAGTTTCCATTTGCTTCATTTGCTTCGAAAATAAAACCAGAGACAACCTTTTATCTCCTTTCTCTTTCAAGACCAAGCATTCTCCCAATAAACCCAAATCTACATAAACTCACATCGACTCATTTCTGCCCTTATCATGCTACGGAAAATATTCTCCATAAGGATACGAGTGATCACCTATGCACAAACCCAGCTGCCTGTTTTCATGGGCGTGTGTCTGCTCGCTGCAGTTCCTAAGTGGAGCTTCTAGCTCCTTTTCTCATTAGGAAGCTCTCCACAGTCAGGCTCAACCTTGTTTTCTAGCTTTGTGCCTGTTGCTGTGCTCCAGGTTCTCTAAACCAAGCTCAGCTGCATTTATCGTCACTACTCCAGGAACCTGCATTCAGAGTCCTTGAAGCTTAGTCTCGCCTACAGCTCACCACCCTTTTGTACTGCACTTGATAAACCCTTCATCTAACAACCTGGTTTATATATAACTTTCCACACAAAGGCTTTCTTTTCCCCAAAGTATAATTAGGCGCAACTTTAAAAAATTTTTTTTTCATCCAAGTGGGCTCCTTGAATACTAGAAATGATGCCTTTTCCATCCTTTTTCCAGCGCCAGTGAGGTGCCTGGATACACTGTAAGTGATGTGTAAGTTGGTTAAATAACGGAGTTATCTCACAAAAGTAAAAAAAAAAAAAGTCTTTGCAATGAGTTTTGACTAGACTTACTTAATAAGCTTTAACTGTAATTTTATGCAAATCCTTTTATTCTAATACAAAACACTTTGAATAAAGAGAATTCAATTGAAAATTGAATTGAAAATTCAATTCAAAATTCTTCTTGGTAAAGCCAAAAAATTAAGATAGGAAGTTGATTTCTCTTGTTGCAGAGACTGTGAAAATCAGAACTTGAAATCCAGCTCCTGGAGAAAATCCATCTAATTTTTGGGGGGGAAATGCTTCATATATTTTAGAGGGCAGTGGATATACTGTTTGTATTCTGTGTAATACATACTTTAGTATAGTAGTTAAGGGTATACATTTTGAACCAAGTGGCCTGGGTTCAAATCTTAGCTCCACCACGTATCAGTTATATCCTTTGGCAAGTTATTTAAGCTTTCGATGCCTCAGTTTCTTCATTTGTAAAACAGCATTAACAATACCTACCCACTAGGCTGTTTTGGGGCTTCCATGGGACAATCTGTATAAAGCATGTAGAATCACACCTAGCACAGATACATGTACTGGGGACTTACTATATTCCCTCAAGTAATACTCTTCGTGCTTATCCATTATTTTGTATATAGACACATTTTCATCTTTGTTTCTAGTAATGGTGAAAACTATCTGCCTGTTCTTTCCCAATCTCTCCTGAAATCAGTGTAAGCTGAATGACAGCCAACAGGCCCAGAAACAACTGATCTCATTCTTCTCAATACTACTAAGAAACTAGCTAATAAGATAGATAGCTTGAACTTAAATGAAGATGAAATATATTCTCTCCAACATTTAGGTGAGTGGCTCTTTTCCTTTTGAATGAATAAAGATCCTTAATCAAAAGTTACTAGGTAGAGCTACAAAATTTGCATTTTTAACAGTCATCAAAGATTATTCTGATGCATGTGATCCTTCAACCACCCTCAGAAAACTGATTTAAATTCAGGTCAACCAATGTTTCCCACATAGAGATTGCACATCTGAATAATCTGCATGACTTTATAAAAATAATAGGTTATTGGGCTTAGCCCCCAAAGATTGATTTCAGGGGTCTATGTTTTTAAAAAGCCCACAAGTAACACACAAACCAGTTGTGTATTTTCTGGAAATAATTCCAAGTGTTTGACAGTTAAATATGATTGTTAAATTTTTTGAGATGTGACCGTTTATATAACTTATAGGACTTGGAAATTAGAAAAAACAGTGGCCCAGAAAACGGATCAACAACCTGGTCAATAAATGCCAAGAACAGAATCTTGATTTCTTGAAAATCTTTTCCATGAGTCTCTGTTTTTCAAAAAGTCGACAATAATGTTATACTGGCAAAGATGTGTTTTTAAAAGTCATTATTCAGTCATTAATGCTAAGATCAGTGACAATGTATTTATTTGGGAAAAGTGATACATATACACAACTGCTATGACTATTAACACCTGTATGATTTAGAAGTCATGTTTTTAGATAAGGAAACTATTCTAGAGTCAATAGATTACCTAAAGTCACAGAGAAGGGTAGTGCACTAGCAAAGGTAGAAATGGTGCCTCATGATCCACCATCCAGTTCTTCCCACCTAACTGTCCCCTTCTTTAGTCTCTAGAACTGCATTCCCCAACACCCTCCCGTTCCTTTCTATAACTCAGGAGTCGGCAAACTTGCTCTATACAGGGTCAGATGGTAAATATTTAAGGCTCTGTAAGCCATACGGCTTTCTTGCAACCACTGTAGCGCAAACACAGCCAAAGACAATACATAAATGAGTATGTGGTGTGGTGTTCCAATAAAGCTTTATTTACAAAACAGGTGGTGAGCAGGATTAGGCTGTTTGCTGACACCTGCTCCATTAAGACTATGAATGTTTAATTGGTTTTCCTGATCAGAAAGTTGAATATTCTATAAAAGATACCCCTTTATGAAACTGAGATGACAGATCAAACAAAAATATGATCTGAGGGACCAGAATGGGTATGTAGGATTCAATGCAGAGTTATTAAAAAATTGTTTTTCTCCTTAATATATTTTAGTCTTACTCTATACAGATTAAGCCAGATGACAAGCTACTATACAACCGCATGTTAAAAAACATGTTTATTTTACACTATGTACAATCAGGAACATATTTAAAAGTATTATCAATTAAAATAAATGAAGACCATAAATCACAATTTAGTTTGTTCCTAGTGTATATACCCACATTAAAATATAAAGAACATATACCAAAAAAGAGCCAAGGTGTGCATTTTGCTAAAACTTGGTATATACATATTCCATTGGAAAAAAGCAATCAAAAATGACTTTAAACCAAAACTAAGTTCCTGTGATGTGTAGTAACCATTATATTGTTTATATGAGGTAGTAACTAAATTATTTTGGCCATGTGTTAATACTCTAAGTCAAAAGAAATATGAAAATGATCATAAAATAAGGCCAACCAAAATAAAGATTTCACTAGAAATTTGAACCACTCCACTCTATGGAATGTTATAGTTCTTCAGTGTGATTCTATGAAATGTTTAGTGTGGACTCTTTAATGATGCTAATTTATTCTTTGTGCATACTGTAATTCAGACAACTGCAGTGTTACATCACGGTACCGCTATTCTGTGATTCAAAATTTTTTCAAAGGTATGTTTTTAAGCACAGACAAAGAATCTTAGAGGATTCTGCTTAATTATAAAAAGACCAGTTACTACAACAGGTGGTTAATTGGTTTGTTTCACATAGAAAACAATCCAAATACATTTAAAAAACATGTTGTGGAGCCAAATGCATATTGACAATGTCACAGCTTACCTTTGTGACTTAATACATCACGTATCAATACTTTGTGCAAATATAAACACCAGTGTACTTGCATTAAAATTAAAAACAAGATTATAAAATGATTATAGCCTCCATTACAATTTTGAAAGTTACAAGATTTGTATTCATATTACTAAATTACATATAATAAAAATACAATAGTGTTAAATGTATGGGTTCATCGCCAGCATCCCATTTTGTAATATAGCCACACCCAAGAATATACCAAGAATTCTTAAAATATTAACCCCAATTGCATTTTCATCAACATTTACATCTGTACAGATAAGACACTTACTTGTACATCTCATAAAAGTACATTATCTACATAAATTCTTAGTGTATGTCTTCAGCAATATGAAGTTTCACAGAAAAATACCCCTGTATGTACAAAGATTACATAACAACGAATTAAGCACTTGTGTGGTTCAATATGCTAAATATATCCATACCACTTAAAACAAAAATCCTCCCCATCTCATCTCATGCCACAATAAATTACAAGTGACTGAAGCCGGGCACCGCAGCTCCGGACGGCTGCAAGCATTCGTCCCTGTTGCAGCAGTCGTGTTCGTTCTTTCTCACACTAACTGTTGAAGCACAGCCGTCCTCAGTAACTGTTCTCATGGCCCGCCAGGATGTATAAGTTGCTATTTGCTGTGGGGTTATCAGTTGGCCTACTTTCCA